AGTGATGGGTCACATTTAGTTGTGCATGCATTAAGCCCATAATTATACAGAAAATTTCCGACAGTCCTTCCTTTGGCCGCTTTAAGACACTAAAGAAAAAGGTCGTCCCCCTTTTCTCTTGCCAGTTCCTTTCCTCCGGATTTATGTGTCTTGAACAGTTTCCTAGCTGTTCCTCTTATCTATACCTACTGGTTATATCGTAATATTTATACAAAGTTCTTCTTTTATCTACCCCCCTTCTCTTACTGTTTTACTTCTGCTCTTACCTCATTCTTCCTTCCCGTCATCTCTCAGTGCTGAGTATTTGGTCATTCTTCCAGTGGTAGGTACCTGGTCACTCTCCTAGTACTGGGTACCTGGTCACTCTCCCAATGCTGGGTACCTGGTCACTCTTCCAGTGAGGTGTGTACGTGTATGTGTGTGTATGTGGCAGCTACTAGGTCTACTCACTCCCTGCTCTATGAGCTTCTTCGTATCTCTTCTTGAAACTTTGTATGGATCCTGCCTCCACTACATCATTCTCCAGATTATTCCACTTTCTGACAATTCTATGATTGAAGAAATACTTCCTAATATCCCTGTGACTTATGTGAGTCTTCAGTTTCCAGTCGTGACCCCTTGTTTCTGTGTCCCATCTCCGAAACATCCTGTCCCTATCCACCTTGTCAATTCTCAGTATTTTATATGTCGTTATCATGTCCTACCTATCCGTCCTGTCTTCCAGTGTTGTTAGGTCGATTTCCCTTAACCTCTCCTTGTAGGACATGCCCTTTATGTCTGGGACTAGTCTTGCTGCAAACCTTTGCAATTCCTCTAATTTCTTGATATGCTTGACCTGGTGTGGGTCCCATACTGTGGTGTATGCGTGTGTGTGTGTGTGTGTATATATATATGTGTGTGTACTCACCTAGTTGTACTCACCTAGTTGAGGTTGCGCCCATGTGCTGCAGCAGTTATCTGGTTGATGTGTGTGTGTGTGTGTGTGTGTGTGTGTGTGTGTGTGTGTGTGTGTGTGTGTGTGTGTGTGTGTGTGTGTGTGTGTGTGTGTGTGTGTGTGAGTGTGTGTGTGTATGTGTGTGTGTATGTGTGTGTGTGTGTGTGTACTAACCTATTTGAATTCACCCAGCTCCTGGCCCCGCCTCTTCACTGATCGCTACCAGGTCCTCTCTCTCTCCCTATTCCATGAGCTTTATCATACTTCGTCTTAAAACTATGCTTAGCTCCTGCCTCCACTACATCACTCGCCAGACTATTCCACTTCCTGACAACTCTGTGACTGAAGAATTACTTCCTAACATCTCTTTGACTCATCTGAGTCTTCAACTTCTAATTGTGACCCCTTGTTTCTGTGTCCCATCTCTGGAACATCCTGTCTCTGTCCACCTTATCTATTCCTCGCAGTATTTTGTATGTCGTTATCATGTCTTCCCTGACCCACCTGTCCTCCAGTGTCGTCAGGCCGATTTCCCTTAACCTTTTCTCGTAAGACAATCCCCTTAGCTCTGGAACTAGCCTTGTTACAAACCTTTGCACTTTCTCTAATTTCTTGACGTGCCTGACCAGGTGTGGGTTCCCAACTGGTGCTGTATATTCCAGTATGGGGCTGACGTACACGGTGTACAAAGTCTTCAACGATTCCTTACTGAGGTATCGGAACGCTATTCTCAGGTTTGTCAGGCGCCCATGTGCTGCAGCAGTTATCTGGTTGATGTGTGTGTGTGTGTGTGTGTGTGTGTGTGTGTGTGTGTGTGTACTCACCTAATTGTACTCACCTAATTGTGGTTGCAGGAGTCGAGACTCAGCTCCTTGCCCCGCCTCTTCTCTGACCGCTACTGGGTCCTCCCTCACCCTGCTCCATGAGCTTTATCATACCTCGTCTTAAAGCTATGTATGGCTCCTGCCTCCACTACGTCACTTGCTAGGCTATTCCACTTCCTGACGACTCTATGACTGAAGAAATACTTCCTAACATCCCTGTGACTCGTCTGAGTCTTCAGCTTCCAATTGTGACCCCTTGTTTCTGTGTCCCATCACTGGAACATTCTGTCTCTGTCCACTTTGTCTATTCCACGCAGTATTTTGTATGTCGTTATCATGTCTCCCCTGACCCTCCTGTCCTCCAGTGTCGTCAGACAGATTTCCCTTAATCTTTCTTCATAGGACATTCTCCTTAGCTCTGGAAGCAGCCTTGTTGCAAACCTGTGAGTGTGTGCGTGTGTGTGTATGTGTGCGCGAGCCAATGTGCTTGCGTGATTGTATGCTTACCAGTTTGTGTTGGCGTTTTCGTACATGCGTGAGTTTGCGCGTCTTATTTAACCTTGTTAGATGATAGTCTGTCAGCTTGAGTCCTGCAGTGTGGTACATTGCATATTTATTACATACTGTATCCCGTCATAGTGCCTCGTAAGTATACTGTTATGCCCCAGAACATTCTTGTACACCTTCTTGTCTCGCAACCTCAAGAAAAGGCTGAATCTTAAATTGAAAGATATTCAATATATGTATTGTCGCTGAAATATTCTTTTCAGCGGAGGAAAATCTAATACATAAATTTAGAATTTCGACTGCATTTTTGAGGTGTTCATTGTACTGTGTGAAGGGTGGAAGCCCTGTGGCTACTGACTACATTATTATATATACATGCGAATTTTGGCCAAATACCTACATGTCAAAATGTCTTGATCATACCAGATACGTCCAGCATTTACGTCTTTGTAATGAATCCTCCCTTCAAAGGTGGGGGGGGCCCTTGATGTCTGTGAAAGGCTCTTGATTCAAGGATTAGTGTTCCCTCCCCTTACTAATATCAAGCCTGGGTTTTGTTTCATTCCCGAGGCGCTGTATGATCCACTTGGTTTAGCGCTTCCCAGTGAATATCGATAATATTTTATGTAAATAATGCTCTTGATATAAGGAATTGAACCTTCTCTCTAATTCCTTGAATCGAACCTAAATGATTTTTATTTCCCCAGGCGTTGTACGATTTCGACGGGTTTTGTGCTCCCCATAAATGTAATAATAATAATAATAATAACGATAGTAATAATAATAAGAATAGTAAATAATAGTAATGAATAAGGAACAAAAAGGCACAAATAACCCGCACATAGGAGAGAGAAACTTATAACTACGTTTCGCTCCGACTTAGACCATTAATTAGTTACACAGAAGCGCGAAGGGTTGATGATGATGATGATGATGATGATATTGATGATAGTATAATCGCCAGGAACGAAATCCCGGTGAATATACTAACATCAACAAAGGTTCTCTGAGGCTATGATAACAAGTTTACAATGAAGTGCAAATTCATCAGATTTACTAGTCATCTGGGACTCCCTGAAACTGGAAACTGGAAACTGCCCCTCCTCCCTCCCTGCTGTATTGAAGATAAGCATCAGCCATTGTGGCTGCACATGTGTATTTCACGCCTCTTGCATGTTGTCTGCCCAGGCTTGAAGGGTAATTCCATCTGATGCTTTTGGTAGCCATCGGATATACATAGCTGAGATGGCTCCCTTATTGATGGGCATCCGACTGTTGTGAGGCTTCGCTTGATGCTATTATTTACCTCTTCATGTCTTGGTGCCCGAATCGTTCTTGCAGATTCACTGCCTCGGATACACCTGTTTGGCGAAGGTGAAGGTGAAGGGCAACACAAATCTGGATGGTCTGTGGGTCGAGACGTGTGCCAGGGAAGGAACTGGGAACAGCCAACAGCAAACCACTACCAGGAGCCGAGATCTGGGTCCACCCGACACGCTGCAGCACTGTTGAGGCTATATTTTCCACTACTGAGCCATTTCAGTGTGACTGTTTATAGTTGTTGGGGAAACATGTCTGATTCCACAGCCCGTTAGATTATCCCAGATCATGTCTTCATCAATGAACTTTTGGTCACGAACCCCAACATTGTGCCTAAGGTGTTCAGAGAGAATCACTGCTACAAGTTCACTGGATTCCACACATGAAGATAGGAAAGCAGAGAGCACGACCTGTGATGCCTTGCGGACACCAATACCTTCTAGTCTGAGTGGAAGTGTAGGTAGCTTGGTGCCACTGTTCTTCTAAAGTAACGGTGAATACTCTTGTGAATATCAGCCTCAAGAGACAGTCATAGAAAGATGCACATCATAGAAAACTTGTTAGCCTGGCCTTCCGTAACGCAATGCTTGCGTGTTTATCATAGCAGGAATAAGAAAGAGAAAAGAAAAATTGGATATACCTCATTTTTCTATGTAATTTTTTTTATATATATTCATATAATTGAACATACTTTGACTGAAAAACGACACGTGCCAGCGAGCACTTTAATAATATAAACGAGCATTTGCTACTGATATGTTTCCAAAAAAGAACAGTGTTATATTAGCTTTAGCAATGCCATCGATCTGTGAAAATAATAATATATTGTAGGTAAAGACACACAGGCATAATTCAAAGCATTTATTGAGGAAATGTTTCTCAACGAGTTACTGCTTCTGTCAGTCGTGGTGAAACGTTTCTTCAATAAATGTTTTAAACCGTGCATATGTGTCTTTATCTAATTACTGTCAGTATCACCATGTCTGCTGTCCAGTCAGTAATACGACGTACAAAATTTTACTGAAGAAAGATCTTGTTAGGACTCTCTAGATTTATTATTACTACATAATCAGTTTGACGTAAATCTTATTTAAAGACGTCATTAAACACTGAGAGAATTGCAGTTTGTGTTTGATCTCTTACGTTGAGGGATTTCACAACGCCATTGTCACAGAAACATATTTACAGGAAAAACAATTACAAATATAACTGTAATAAATAGTCTTCACCTTGTTTTTCGAGAGTTGCTCATAAAGTGTTCCAAATATTTTGTCTTGAGTCTCGTATTATAAAAAAGCCTAGCCTATCTCTACGTCACTCGTAATTAACTATCGCTGTAAGGTGCTTATGTAAATGAAGGTTAACGCCCAGCACTAGCACCAGTTAGATAAGTAATTACACTATATTTCCGTCAGCGTGGGTGGAGAGCGTGAGGGTACTGAGGTTTCAAGAGGACGGTGTGGCCTCGGAGAGCGTGGCAGTATATCAGGGAAGTCTCAGCAGGTCCAGAGAACTCTACTCTTTCACGTTCTGCGTTAGATTCAAGATTTTTTACCTTCATCAACGGGGCACGCTCTTCTTTCTGTACGACAGTGTTAAAGATCGATATTGGATGCTGAGAGGAGGTGAGTTGCCTCTTGATTTTGATACCTAAGATTCACTCTGATCACCTGCAGATTATCACTTATACGAAGGATAATTTTCTTGGTAAGTTCCTTTAAATAGGCAATAAACTGTCTAGTCTGTAGATAAATTATTACAAAGAGGTGCTCATATTAATGTTCCTTCAAAGGGTGTAGGAAGAAAGATTGCCTTGATGCTGGAGGGCTAATGATCTAAGGAAATGGAGCTGTTCTTTGTTTCATGTTTCAAGCTTGATTGCTTCACATTCACAGGCACTGTATAACCCCTACAATGTTAGTGCTTTACAATTTATGTAATAATAATATAATCAGCTTAAATGCAGAAGAGTTGAAACAATCACCCGGAGAGAAGAGTTGACTGGTGGATAACTTGTCCCCATGAAGAGAAATTTCTCAAATTGCTGCATAAACACACACACACACACACACACACACACACACACACTCACACACACACACACACACACTCACTCACACACACACATTTTACCATTTTTACATAGTCTAATGGCTCACGATATCGTAATGACACTATTGCAAACAAACCATACTACGGGCGAGGAAAGAACTCGCGATCAGAGCCAGCTGGCTCAGTGGCTAACGCGTCGGTCTGGAGTTTAATGACTCTGAACGCAGGTTCTATCCCCATCCGTGGTATGGGTTTTTACAGTCTTACTTGTACTGCATGAGGCAGAGCGAGTGCTGAATCTAATTAATAGTGAATAATATAACCAATGGAAAACAAATGACCTCAAATCAGCATGCCTTCAGGATGAATTATTATTCTTTTACATGTACTGATGGGCTGGTGTGGGGGTGGTGACAGCAGAAGTGTGGGTGGACAAGGTGAGAGTAGCCATCTCCCACACCTGGCACTTTATGCCCCTGGACCACCAACTGTGGGCCTTCAGGTGAGTTCGCTTATAATTCTTTGGTGTGTTTTCTTAAATATTTATTTATTGATTAAGATAGTAAGTTATCGAGAAGCATTAAGCATAAAAAAGTTGCATGTCTTCAGGTTTTACTAATCTTGTTTCACCTATAACAACACCACCGTCCTGTTTCCGACCTTCCTTGGCGGATTTGCATTTTTTTTTAAGATCTTACAATCTCTGTTTCGCCTCCAACCACACTAGCTTCCTGATTCACATCTTCATTGACGGAACTGCACTTCTTTCAGGTTTTACCACCTCTGTTTTACCTACAACCACACCAGCTTCCTGATTCAGACCTTCATTGACGGAGTGATGGTAAGGAACGGTTCCTACAACGTCAACCGTCCAGCACTCGGCGATTACGCTGCTGTGGGTAATGGTCAAGCCATTGAGGAGAGTTACAGTGGAGACATAACTCAGGTAACTTCCTGTATAATGCTTGCCTTGTAAATGGCAAAGGCACACTAAACAGCGTCAGCCTTTATTAAAAACGTTTCGCTCACGGAGATTTTTAGCAAGTTATGATAAAACCGTCCTTGAACGAAACGTTCTACTAATAAAGATTTGTGCTGCGTTTCGGGTCTTGATCACCTGCTTCTTGTTATTTTTCCCTTAGTCTACTAGGTAGAACATTAAAATGGATTAAATACCGACAAGTTGTTAGGTAAGACACATATGCAACGGTTAGGTATCAAAATAAAGATACCTAACCGTTGCATATGTGTCTTACCTAAGAGTCTACTAGGTAAGAGTTGGACGTTCGTCTAACGATTAGAACACGGAGGATCGACCCTCCACTGCTCTGTGCGCTGAATGGACCCCACGGGTTTAGCGGTTAGCGGTTAGAAAGACACGAAAGCAACTTGTTGGTATTTATTACCAGCGGTTTATACCACAGCGGTTAGCAAAAATATAAGAATATAAGAATTGTCTTACCTAATGCTTACCTGCTATTTACCAAAAAAATTTACAAAAAATTTACAAAAAAAAAAAAAAAATAAAAAATAAAAAAATGCACTATTATTATTGCTAATTGTGTGAACTCTTACATTTACTAATGTTATTTCTAGCTATTATTATGATACAACTTTAATTTTCATTGGATGATTTTTCTCTGTTATGGTTATTTGTGACATTTAATTCTTATAAGCATTTTATTCCCGCTTCTCCCGAGATCTCTTTTTTTTTTTTTTTTTTTTTTTTTTTTTTTTTTTTTTTTTTAAGAGCCGTACGTACCATAAGCTTGTTTCTTGAACGACTTCTTGTTTCTTGAATGACTTCTTGCTTCTTGAATGACTTCTTGTTTCTTGAATGACTTCTTGTTTCTTGAATGACTTCTTGTTTCTTGAATGACTTCTTGTTTCTTGAATGACTTCTTGTTTCTTGAACGACTTCTTGTTTCTTGAACGACTTCTTGTTTCTTGAACGACTTCTTGTTTCTTGAATGACTTCTTGTTTCTTGAACGACTTCTTGTTTCTTGAACGACTTCTTGTTTCTTGAATGACTTCTTGTTTCTTGAATGACTTCTTGTTTCTTGAATGACTTCTTGTTTCTTGAATGACTTCTTGTTTCTTGAATGACTTCTTGTTTCTTGAATGACTTCTTGTTTCTTGAATGACTTCTGTTTCTGAATGACTTCTTGTTTCTTGAATGACTTCTTGTTTCTTGAATGACTTCTTGTTTCTTGAATGACTTCTTGTTTCTTGAACGACTTCTTGTTTCTTGAACGACTTCTTGTTTCTTGAACGACTTCTTGTTTCTTGAACGACTTCTTGTTTCTTGAACGACTTCTTGTTTCTTGAATGACTTTTTGTTTCTTGAATGACTTCTTGTTCTTGAACGACTTCTTGTTTCTTGAATGACTTCTTGTTTCTTGAATGACTTCTTGTTTCTTGAACGACTTCTTGTTTCTTGAACGACTTCTTGTTTCTTGAACGACTTCTTGTTTCTTGAACGACTTCTTGTTTCTTGAACGACTTCTTGTTTCTTGAACGACTTCTTGTTTCTTGAACGACTTCTTGTTTCTTGAACGACTTCTTGTTTCTTGAACGACTTCTTGTTTCTTGAACGACTTCTTGTTTCTTGAACGACTTCTTGTTTCTTGAACGACTTCTTGTTTCTTGAACGACTTCTTGTTTCTGAACGACTTCTTGTTTCTGAACGACTTCTTGTTTCTTGAACGACTTCTTGTTTCTTGAATGACTTCTTGTTTCTTGAATGACTTCTTGTTTCTTGAACGACTTCTTGTTTCTTGAATGACTTCTTGTTTCTTGAATGACTTCTTGTTTCTTGAATGACTTCTTGTTTCTTGAATGACTTCTTGTTTCTTGAACGACTTCTTGTTTCTTGAACGACTTCTTGTTTCTTGAATGACTTCTTGTTTCTTGAACGACTTCTTGTTTCTTGAATGACTTCTTGTTTCTTGAATGACTTCTTGTTTCTTGAACGACTTCTTGTTTCTTGAACGACTTCTTGTTTCTTGAATGACTTCTTGTTTCTTGAATGACTTCTTGTTTCTTGAATGACTTCTTGTTTCTTGAATGACTTCTTGTTTCTTGAACGACTTCTTGTTTCTTGAACGACTTCTTGTTTCTTGAATGACTTCTTGTTTCTTGAACGACTTCTTGTTTCTTGAACGACTTCTTGTTTCTTGAATGACTTCTTGTTTCTTGAATGACTTCTTGTTTCTTGAATGACTTCTTGTTTCTTGAATGACTTCTTGTTTCTTGAACGACTTTTTGTTTCTTGAACGACTTCTTGATTCTTGAACGACTTCTTGTTTCTTGAACGACTTCTTGTTTCTTGAACGACTTCTTGTTTCTTGAACGACTTCTTGTTTCTTGAACGACTTCTTGTTTCTTGAACGACTTTTTTCTTGAACGACTTCTTGTTTTGATTCAAAAAGGCCGTTCTTATATTTGCAATAACCTTAAAGGGGGTCGCCAGTATGTTTGAAACCCGTGTCAGGAGACACTTGTCCTGTCTCCTGGCAAATGTTATAATAACAATCTCATACTTGTAGAAGCCACTAGTGTATCACATTAAATATGCTCCTCTGGAGAGGTCTGGTGTATTTGTTAGATAAAAGAAAACATAACGAAAACCATAGAACGGGATAGGTTAGAACCCGCGATCAGAGAGTCATAAAACTCCAGACCGACTCTCTGATAGCGGGTTCTAACCCCGCCCGTGGTATGGTTTATTTGATATCGTGTCATTATGATTTCGTGAGTCAAAAGGGCACATGTGATATTTTATTGTGGCAACATTTGGCTCTCCAGGAGCTTTGTAAAGCTTTGTCATTGGCTTGACAAAGTTCCTGGTGAGCGAAACGTTGCCCCAGTAAAATGTCACATTACTCGCACTTGTCTCCTTTTACCTAAGAAATTGCTAGACACCTCTCTCGATTTCGCACCATCTTTACACATATTAACACATTGTTCCCACGCAAGCTTCTTTTTTTTTATAATAGGAATGAAACAGGTTAAATATTTTTCCCCCGTGTTGAATAAGTTTGTAAAGATTTCCAGAACAGTCTTTCCTACCTTGTCGTTGTGATTTTCTCTTATCTTTGTTGTTCACTCTTTCCTTCCTTTCCTCCCTGCATCTTCCATGATTTATCGGTGAAGTTTTATGTCAAGTTTCTGTTTTATTCTTAGTAAACTTTAATGTTGCTTTGTTAGTTTGTCTTTTTCTTTGAGTGTTATTATATACTTTCTTACTTTTATCTTCCGTCTCATGTGGTTATGCATCAAATTTAGATATGTTTTGACTTAAGCCATTATGCCCTCTTCAATTTCTAGATGAAAAATTTCTTGATCTGTATACTGACAGGTTAACGTATGGGACAGTATAGTGAGTGTCACAGAAATCAAGAAGATGGCAGCCTGTCAAACTGATCCCCAAGGGAACTTCATCACATGGGAGGCTAACTGGAGACTCCGCAACGTAACCTCTTACGACATGCCACTGGAAAAATTTTGCCAGCAGGAAGTGGGTAACATTTATTTCTGGTTTCCTGAAGTCACGGATTATACGGGCCAGTACGTCTGTGAGGCCCTCGGCACCCACCTGCCACACATATCCAGCTTAAAGGACGCAGAATACCTTACAAGCTGTCGGAGACCATGTGGCCTAATAGTGACCATTGTCCTCTATACATCTGGAGTCCACTCAATGACAAAAAGGAAGAGAATGTGTGGGTAGCTTCATATGATAAGAATTTAATTGATAATTCTTCATACTGGTCACCAGACGAACCTAATGGTTATAGATATGAAAACTGTGCAGCAGTGCGAAAAGACGGCTTAATTGACGATGACTGCGCCTGGAAGAGATGTGCACTTTGTACATTTACTGAACCCCAGAGATTTTCATTACTCGGCAGTTGTGAACCAGAACTCCGTAATGTTTACTTTGTGGCATATCAGGAGGAATATGGTGGCTTGATCTTCAGGAGCTACGGATCGAATCACATTAAGAAAGTGAATGGAACTTGGATATACATTAATGCAGTGCAAAACTACACCATAGCTAAAATGGAGCCATTTGATCCTGACTTTCCAATGGGTCGTAGATGGTGGCAGCTGGAGAGAGAAGTGTGTGACCAGGAAAGTGGTGGTCGACGTCGCATGCTGCTCACACCTTGTCGCTCTGATCATTATACATGTGACGACGGCACCTGCATCCCTCACCACTACCGGTGTGATCTTAAATATGACTGTAGAGATCGAAGTGATGAGCTGGATTGTGAACTCATCTTGTTCCCCCAAGACTACCATCAGAACTTGCCTCCGAGGGTGCCAGGGAAGGAAGACTCGAAGCTCCCTGTTATTATAAACGTTGTTATAAAATCTATAGACGTCCAAACAGTGCAAATGTCCATGAAATTATCTTATGAAATAGAGATGATTTGGTTTGATAACAGGCTTCAATATTATAATCTTAAATCAAATGCCAGTCTGAACAGCCCACGTCTAGACACAATGATGAAGTTGTGGTCCCCACTGGTGAAACTACTCAATACAGACACCATCGATCAAGCACTGTTGGCCATAGACGCCAACACTCTCATTGAAAGACGAACTGCAGCGTTGGGCAGGGACGAAGGTGCAGCGGGCGAAGGTTAGGCATCATTTAAAACACAAAGTATTTACTTTAAACACTGATTAATTTAAGTTCATTCTTCTTCAAATAGTTGCAAGTAAATTTTTAATTATCATCGTGCTGTTCACTTGTATCACACTCTAAATGTATACTACATCCCGTACATTGTTTCCACAGTGGACATGTACTCAGGAGAAGACAATCCTTTATCAGTGAGCAGGAAGTACAGTACGGTCTACGCCTGCCAGTTCGACCTCACACTCTACCCTTTTGACAACCAGTATTGTGACATCCACCTTCAGATTGTGTCTGGCCAAGTGTCCTTCCTCGACGTCCACTCAAATTCCTCTGTTGACTACTTGGGAAGCGAAGTGCTCAATGAATATAAGGTCTGCATATAAATTAATGTCAATTGCTCCAAACAACTCGTAATCATGACACTGAAAATTCCTAAATGAATTGAGCTGGTAGTTCCGATTTTGTTAATTCGAAATCCGAATATTAAAATACAGTATTAATGCCACACCTGCGTGATTGTGGCGATCTCTAGCTCAGGTCCCTTCAAGTCCCTACATTTGTGGTCACAGTGGGGCTCATGTTAGCCTTCCTATAGTACACAGAATTATACGAAGTAGAATGGATCGCATTAGATTATTACGCCTCCTCAACTACTGGTTATTGTTAGTAACAAAGTTTAAGCACTACAAAAAATAAAAGAAGAAATGAGTGTAAATGAAATAATGATTCACAAATCTTTTCTCCAAAGATCATATTAATTGATCTTAATTTCCATATGTTATTTATATATTCCTTATGCACAGACATTCTATAAATTATCTAAATGTTAGAATATCCAGATCTTACCTTGTTTATTACATAAAATATGATTATGGAATTAAAGAAATATTCTGATGCACTGTGAGGATAGTTCCAACTATTGGCTATGACATAAATACAACATAATTTGTTAACCTCGCAAGGTTATAGACAGTAAGTGATAACTTCTGAGGGGAAATATACTTGTAGGTGACCTTTGCTCTTTATAACAGCTTAATATGTGAAACTGCTCATATGTTTTAGCTAAATTCTTTGATTTGCTTTATATTTTCAGTTTGATAATTTTACAGAGTTTGAACATTTTCAGCCCCCTTTCTTTATGTGTCCATTCCGTTGTATTAACTGAAATAGTAAGGTTGACAAGCTGCTATGAATAGAAAATACATCTACTTCGCTGTACTTGTAACAGTGAAGGATCCAGGTATGGATGTGAGGAGACAAGACATTACGTTCACTCCATGTGACGCTTAGGTATTACGTGATTTTCCAGTATGTCCTGACTAAGAATATGCTCATCTTTTTGTATCTGGGAATCCTGACTTAAATTACATATCATTTAATATAATCTTCTGAATTACTGTCTTTCCTGACTAATGTCCAGTGGTGCTGAGTTCGATGCTTTTTGTTTTGTCCTAAGAAAGTTACTATTGTATAATAATATTCTTTCTGGCTAGTAAAACCCTAATTGGATCAGAATATTGGTCAAAACATACCTAAGTAATGCAGTTGTTTTCATACAGGTGTACAACTGTAGTATATATAACTTATACAAAGCATTAGCTGGGACTTTGTGTCTCTCTCAGATCGGAAAAGTAAAGGTGCTGTTGGACAAGAAGTACATGCCTGGTGAGGCTCGGGTTCGTGTGCCCATGACGAGGCAGTTCGGTAACTCCATCCTCAACATCTACATTCCCTCTCTTATACTCATGGTCATCAGCTACCTCACCTTCTTCTTCAGAACCTCCATCTTCGACGTGCGTGTGATGGTCACCCTCACCGCCCTTCTTGTGCTTGCTACACTCTTCGCTCAGGTCTGCTCATGAAACTCATCTCGAATCATTGAATCAGTTACACTATTGCTGTTATAATATATATCCACTTGGAGACAAACACATAGAGGAAGTTTTCTGCATATTTTGAGCTTGATCTAAAATCCTCATCGGCAGAAAACAAGGTATGAGGAAACAAAATGTTATATGGTAGTGTCTGGAAAAGGGAAGCGTCACGTGAGCATCATGGCGCTATGGCTCATAAAGGAGGTGGTACATAGTTTGAATTATATATCTCGGTGTTAAGTACAACCTCCTGGAAACATGGCACTTCGATTGGTGTGGGGATTCCTAATTCACCTTGGTGTTGTTATCAGAATGAGAATCGATTTCAGAACTCAAATTTCTGAATGTACTGAGCAGTCAGTCCCGATTCTAATAGTTCGAAATCCAAATCGCAAAACACAGTATCTATTTACACTTTCCCCTTCCCTTCCACCATCTTCTACTTACGTTTTCCAAAACCCCCAAAAAACATTTTCTCACTCATTCAAATTGACATGTACACTCTGTTCTCACCTCACCTCACTATGTTGGTATCTACTTAATGGGTAAAATTATAGATTGAACACTTCAAAACCTGGTACCACCGTCTCAATTATTAACCATTGTTATTAACAAACTTAGTTGGTTATATCTACACGTTCCTAGTTGATGGCATAATCACAAGATTTAATGCTGGAAAACAGTCGATCTTTCTTGTTTGTACCTGGCTAATCATGTGTGTTCTGTTACCCTAGTTCCTAAATTACAACAGTTTCACTAATATAAACCAAATCATAGTTGTGATGAAAAATAAACACTAGGTGTTTCCATGGGAAGATATATAGTTTTTGAGGAAATAGATGCCATTTTTTAAAAGCTGAAACCTGATTTAGGAACTTTGTATTAGGCTGCACCGAGCTGCGCCTCTTCCTTATGGATAGCCACTGCAAGATGCTCGCCTTATCTCCCATCCAGACACTACCAGATAACATGTCTTTTTCTCATTTTTTGTATTCTACTGAAAACAGCCTCAGATCGAGGTCAAAATATGCAGTCTATTTTCTTCTTCCATTTGTCTCTGTGTAGGTTGCCTCATATTGCTGAAAGGTGTTAACGATACTTAAAGCTCCATCATAGTAATGTTCGTTATCTTCACAGGCGTCAAATTCACTTCCTAATACGTCATACTTCAAGATGGTGGACATCTGGCTCTTATTCTGCGTGGGTGTCACCTTCCTAGTCATCATATTTCATATCCTGATTGATAACCAGTATTTCAAGGATAACAAGACAACCCAAGTAAAACCTTTTGCTTTGCCAGCGTATAGCGAGACCCATCTGATGGGACTACGCGGCCGCTGCCGCTGGTCACCAAATTTGTCGGTCGAGCAACTGGAGATGGTAGCCAAGGTCTTCGTCTTCTTCCTCATGATCACATTCATGGTTGGATACCTGGCCTATATAATAAGCTGAGAATCTCGTCTAAATTTCTGCAGCACGAAGTCTTACATTTCCGTATGACTGAAAATATTAAATTGCTTATTTTGCAAATAGATAAATGAGAGATTTCATACACAAGCTTCATGAGCTTGTCACAATGTATAATAATACACAAACATTGTATATAAAAAACTTATATCACTGTTCCGTACTTATAGCACTTGGTCATGATCTAAGGTAATTTATTCTTGCCTAATGATTAACATTAAAACTACGATTAACATATCAACGATTTGGTAGTTTAATTTGTTCCATAAGAGATGAATAGTTCAGATATAATACTGAGGATGAGATATTACAATAAATTTTACCAAGAAAGTTACCATTACACTGTTCTTCACTGGCATCAAAGGATGATAACTTATTATTATTAACCTTTTCTACAGTGAACACAATATTTTTTTGTGTAATGTAAACAATACGTGATAATTCTATCAAAATGGAATATTTCTCAATTATCTTGTAAAATAATGGTTCCAATTCTACTGGACAGTCAGCCATCCAGCTGTTCTTACAATAACATAAAAATATATTAATCAAGGTTAGTTCTAAAAAAAGGCCCATTATCTCTCTTATTTGCGCATACAAACCTTTGTCAAAATGAAAAAAAAATGATCGTTTATTTTGAAATGAAGATTTCTTTACATTGTACTTTTGTATCTTTTTCTACTAAATTTTTATCACTAAATAAGTCATTAACACAGATACCTTTTTCTTAAGAACAGACTGTTTCTGACAGAGAAATGTAAAATAAATAACTTGTAACTGATTGACTCACGAAATCGTAATGACATGATTGCAAACAAACCATACCACAGGCGGGCTAGAACCCGCGATCAGAGAGTCTCAAAACTCCAGACCATCGCGCTAGCCACTGGACCAGTTAGCCACAATAAGATTCGTCCAACTAGGTATATTTCTACACCATAGGAAGGTTAGCATAGGCACCACTGTGACCACAAATGCAAGTTTTTACAGACGAATCTCCAGCTAGCGTGGCCGTGACGAACTCTAGCTCAAGTCCCCTCAAAGCCGTCAACATGTGGCTAGTTGGTCCAGTGGCTAACGCGACGGTCTGGAGTTTTGAGACTCTCTAGATCGCGGGTTCTATCCCCGCCCATGGTTTGTTTGCAAACGTGTCATTACGATTTCGGATTAAGGTCGACCTTAATCCGGATTAAGGTAGCATATTTTTATTGTAGCAAGGGTGATTCACTAGTCATTGTGACGGACTAGCGAACTCTACTTCAAGGCTCGTCGATTCCCTGAAGAAAATATATACTACATGGATTCTTATGTGCCCATGGACAAACACGTCTCCTTACAATGGCACCGGGCACATAGCCTCGTAAATCCGCAAATCACTTCCCTCTCTTTTGTTGTGTTATGGGTGCAGATGAATAATGAAATGGCCTTAAAAACCGTCTTTGCGCAGGCGTTTTTGTGACCAAGAAGAAGCGTAACAGTGAAGCACGAATCTGTAGCCTCATTTGCCACCGTCAACCTCGCTGGTCGACATCATGTGTCGACCACAGCTGCTCCTTCCCACATATATCCTGTTTTTACTCGGTAATGTGCTCCTTCTGTTCTAGTTATTATTGCCATTAAGTAATAGCGACAGTATAATTGCTCATTTGGGTTATTTTATATATATATATATATATATATATATATAAAATATATATATATATATATATATATATATATATATATATATATATAAATATATATATATATACATATATATATGTATATATATATATATATATATATATATATATATATATATATATATATATATATATATATATATATATATATATATATATATATATATATATATATATGCAATAAGATCACAGTAACAGGTGATTTCAAAATATACAAAACAACCACTGCAAAAGAATAGAGAAATTCCAAGCGCTTTCGTGGCTACTCACATTATCAAGGAACAATAAAAGTAATGCATCAAAGGAAGGCATATAAAGAGTCTAGACCACACCTCACTATCACATCCCACAACAAAGCAACATCTGACGTGCGACCCATAAGAAAGAGAACACTGCAGCAGGCCCGCTGGCCAAACTAGACAGGTCCTTCACGCAACTCAACTATTCTACCCAACAATTAAGAATTTTAAAATTTATTGTTTGTCCACTATATTATTAAATTCTTCCCAAATTCTTTTAATTATAAATGGATCTAATTTATATAAACCAAAGGAAATATTCATATTATTGTCAAAACTGCTTTTTATGAAACAAGATTCAATTATATTCCTGTCGACCATGGACTTGCTTGATACAACTTTCTCAACTCTTTGAAAATCAATTGGATGGTTAAAATCTCTCCCATGAATAAATAGAGCATTGGAATCTTGTCCAGTTCTAATGCTATATTTATGTTTTAATCTTAGTTCGAGACTTTTACCAGTTTGACCGTAATAAACTTGATCGCAAATTTTACAAGGAATCTTATAGATACATCCGTCAGCATTTTGGGGGGAATTCTTTATCAAAAGTTTTACTCTATCAAGATTTTTAAATACAACTTTGATATTAAAAGTCTTAAGAAGAGAAGGCATATCAACCAAGTTTTCATGGTAAGGGAAAACCAACATATTTTTAGTTGAATAAGGTTGGTTGTCCCTTTTTGGATTGTAAAAAGTATTTCTAGCAATTTTAAAAGATTTATCAATTACGTTTCTTGGGTATTTCAAATCATTAGCTATATCATAAATTTTGGATATTTCCTCATCTATGAACTCTGGACTACAAATACGCAAAGCTCTCAAAAACATTGATGAGAAAACAAACAGTTTAACTCTATCTTGATGTGAAGAATAATAGTGTAAATGGG